TCTGTTATTTTTTCCTTCTCTTTTTTTTTCAAGGGTCCCAACCTGCTCTTACCGGCCATGCCAGGAGCGGATGTCTCGAGCCTCGTGCGGGGGAAACCATGTAAGGGGCTGGAGGTAGTAGGTGGAAATTTGGAACGGATTCCCGTCTCCCCTTACACACTTTCGCCCTATTCGCACGGGAGACGTTATTTTGAAGCACATTTTCGAGCACCTGTTAAACTCAAAACATGATACAAGAGTCCATGACAGGTAGAGAGTCCACAACACCACACAATTCAAGGGTCCTAATATCACTAATTCACTCAATCAACCAACACAATATGAAGAAGAAATGAGACTTCATAAATGCATCAACATCCTCCATAGTGCTACACTACCTCCCTAGGTTGCATATTACTATAAAGACTGTCAATTCAAAGCATACTGAGCAGGCAATTGCAAGGAACACGTACTTGGAGCCTTCAAATTTAAAAATTTGGACAATGGACTAGGCTCCAAGCACACAAACAGATCTAATGCAGTCAAAAGATAAACATCCCCCCACACTTAAGATCGACATAGCCCTCAATGGAGAAGAGGGAAGAGGAAGGGGAACGATGTTACCGGTATGCACGGACTGCAGGGGACTGGAAGCGGACCAGTCGAGTGAAGCGGACTGGAGAGGGACCAGTCAAGCCAAGCACAGCTAAAGGAAACCAAAGAGCTCAACACAGTATGTTAGGTCCATTGGTCAGCCCAATAATACATCATCCAGAACAAAAGAAAACAAACCACACCCAAACCGGGTTACAATCCGACTCAAAACACAAGAAAGAAAGTCAAACCGTGGTGGGGTTGCCTCCCCAAAAGCGCTTCTTTACCGTCGTGTAGCTGGACGCCCATGGTGGATACTCAGGGAGGTGCAGGAATAGGTGCCTCCAAGAGCGGATCCACGTCGCTCTAGAGGTACAGCTTAAGGTTGTGGCCATGAACCCGACGGATGGGACCACCATCATCAGTCAGCTCGACCTGGCCATCTGGCAAAATGCAGGCGAGTGAGTACCCGGACGGCCAGGGTGGTCGTGGTGCAGGAGGTGGGACCAGATCATAGTGATCTCCACTCTTCTTCCGTGCAGGCTTAGCAACCTGCGGCTTCGGCCGCCACTCCTCCTTTAGCTTTTTGTTCGGAGGCGAGGCTGGATGGAGTGGCGGCGAAGGAATGATAGGAGGGTCCTGCAAAATAAGAGGTGCAGAAGGATAAACGACAGGCTCGTGTACCTGGTCAGAAATAGCATGCACAGGCGTGACAGCAATCATAGCACAGTGATCAAATTCATTCTTCATTCCCAGCACGCAAGATCAGTTTACCATCATGCACATCAATAAGTGCCTTGGCGGTGGCAAGAAATGGTCTACCTAGAATCAAAGGCACATCCACATCCTCATGTATATCAAGAATAACAAAATCAACAGGATATGTGAATGCACCGACACTGACAAGCAGATCCCCTATGATTCCCCTTGGATGCACAATGGAACGATCAGCTAGCTGAATGCTCATCCTAGTAGGGCTAAGTTCACCTAGGTCTAGCTTTTTGTACAACTTATATGGCATGACATTTATGCTAGCGCCTAGATCTGCCAAAGACTTGCCTACATGCCTGCTGCTAATAGTAAGAGGGATAGTAAAACTCCCTGGATCCTTGCGCTTTTCGGGCAGCTTGTTCTGCAGGATAGCAGAACACTCCTCATTGAGCATCACTGCCGAAAGATCCCCAAGTTTCTTCTTGTCGGTGAGGACGTCTTTCATGAGCTTGGCTTACTTGGGCATCTTCGACAGTGCCTCCACGAACGGTATGCTGATGTTGAGCTGCTTCAACATTGCCATAAACTTGGCAAACTCAGTCTCCAGCTTGTCTTTGTGTAGGCGAGTGGGGAAGGGAAGCTGTGGTACATGCTCCTTAACCACTGGTTGTGGCTTGGGAGCAGGGGCTTCCTTCTCCACCCGCACTTCTGCATCGTCGGCTGGAAGTGCTGAAGCAGGTAGTGGTTCCTCCTGTCTGGCCGGGACAGGATCAGCGGATATGGTCTTACCGCTCCTGGTAAAAATGGCATCCAGCTGCTGGAGCTAGTGAGGATCCCGAGGATTCGTGATAGTGGTGGCAGGCAGAGTCCCCGGTGCCCTGGTAGTGTTTTGGCGGGCCAAGATGCCCACCTGGGTCTGCAGATCTTGCAAAATGGCACCCTGGTTCCGTTGACCTGCCTCCAGTGACGTGATAGCAGCCTGAGTGCTAGTCATGAATGAGGCTAGAATATTTTCCAGCTTCGTCATCCAATCATTTGGGGCTGGAGCTGCTATTGGCTCGGCAAACTGGCGCTGGGGCTGCTGAAATGGTTGCCCCTGCCTAGGCTGGTAGGGCTGCTACTGCGGGGTTGGTCCCTGTCGAGCCTGGAAAGGCTGCCTCTGCTGAAAACCACCTGCTGGTGCTGGGAAACCAGGTGGTTTAGTGGTGTTGCTGCTCCAGGCGAAGTTGGGATGCTGGCGCCACCCCTCATTATATGTAGTGCTGTATGGGTCGAGGCGCCGAGCATTGGCGATGAAGTCCAACTGCTCTTGGGGAGTGGTAGACTCCCTCATAGCCTGGCAGTCCTCCACTAGGTGATTGGAGCTCTCACACCACTGACATTGAGCAACTGGAGGTGTAGCCAAACCTCTGCCCGGAATAAGACTGTTGGGTTGCTTCAATGTCTACACTAGCTCAGCTACCTGCTGCTCAAGCCCGGATCTGGTCTCCACGGTGTGCACACCACGGTCCCAGGAATGTCTGCCTCTGCTACTCTGTCCCCAAGAATGATCTCTGGCAGCCAAGGTATTGATCATCTGGTTCAGCTCGGGTGGAGAGAGAGCACTGTAGAAGTTCCCCACTGTGAATGCATCACTAAAGCCATGATGGGGACACTGCCAGAAATATCCCATGTACCGCTCCCATGCATCACGAAGTGACTCATCTTGCTCTTGGCGGAAGTGAGTGATCTCCCGCTGGATCTCTGTAGTCTTCGATGCCGAATAGTACCTGTGCACGAATTTGTCAGCCAGATTGTCCCAAGAGGTGATGGACAATGGGGGCTAGGTCTCCAACCACCTCTTAGCACTCCCCGCCAGAGAATGGGGGAAGAGATGAAGGCGGATCGCATCATCCGGGACACCATTCAGCTTGAACCCGTTCGTCAGCTGCAGAAACCGGGAAAGATGTACCCTGGCCTCCTCATCCTTCAAGCCATGGAACTGGATAGAGGATGTAATGAGCTGAATCCAGCATGGCTTGATCTCGAAGTTGTTTGTTGGAATAGGCGGGTAGAGGATGACCGGGCGGATGTCAGCAATCCGAGGAGTGTAGTAGTACTCCAAGGTGGGACCCGGCTGCGGTGGATGATGAACCCCATGATCCTGGGGTATGGGGTTGTTCCCCAGGACCTGATTCACCGGGGGAGCCTGCTGAGGATTCCCCTGGTGCTGATTGTAGTCTCCGTCCATCCCGTACTCTTCTTCAGAATCGCTACTCAGGTGGCCGTCTATGCGCTCTTCCGTAGCCAGTCTAGCTCGCTGTTGTCTCTTGAGTTGGCGATAGGTGCATTCAATCTCTGGATTCAACGGCAGTAAACCTCCTGACTGGGTACGGGTCATGCACTACCTGCACACACTCAAGCAAACAAACCTGTGAAGGCACAAGTGGGACAAAGCAAACAAAGCGAAAAGAAAGGCTAAATTAACAGAAATCACTTTTCTTCAACAACCTAGCCGTCCCCGGCAACGGCGCCAAAAACTTGACTCACTTCTACTGTCACCCTAGGAATTGGCCAAGTGTAACCACTTCCTAAAGCGTAGTATAGAGGGTTTAGGTTTAATTATCAACCCGGGTCCTAGATCTGATGACTACTCAGTGAATTCTTGTTATCTAGCAATGAAACTGGAATGCAAGTCTAAACTATCAAACTAACAAAGCAAGTAAACTGTTGTATTCAGGTTAAGAGAGATCACCCGGATATGGTTCCCCCAAGACTGCAGTTAAGCCGGATTGTAATTACCAAGTTCAGTTTCTATGATAGTATACTGCGGAAGGTTCTTAAACAGCCAGAAGTCTCGACTAAAGGTCTTCAGACCCTCTCAATCTGAGTCTATAGCGGGCGACTAACCTCCACCGGAGTAAACAGATTGTGGCCCTAAGAACAAAACCTCCACTACCGAAGTGAATCCGGTATAGAATAGTGAGTTGGTTCCTCGACTAAAGTCACCAACTCCCTACCTTCAATCAAGGATGTTCTATCAACCTAGGCAGATATTCTCATTCTAGGTCAAAGCAGAAACAACAGGAATTTGATCAGGATTCAAGTCATTCAATCATTCAAACCTCAATCGAATATAATCAAATCATAGAATCAGTACTTGGGTTCATACAATCAAATCCTAACATACAAATCTAGGGTTCTCCATACCCAGATGAATGGGAGAACTACTCCATGGAGAAAGAGGCAAAAGCAAAATCAGACGCGGAATTCATACTGTGAAGGATGGATTCCTGCTTCTGGACGTTGATCGACACTTCTCCAAGCTCAAACTGGCGTCCAATGGTGTTGAAGATCAATCTAGGGCACTTGGAGACTCTTGTTCGTCGCTTTCTCTCTCTAGGAATCGTTCTATCTCTCAAAAACTCGAATCCCCTTCTGTTTGGCTGAAAATCTGCTTAAAAGGGCATCAGTGGCCAAAGCACGGTCGAGGGCACGGCCGTGTAATGCCTCAGCCTGCCCGTGCTTTGGCTAGGGTTAATTACACTAGGAGAAACACGGTCGTGCTTTTGGGAGGACACGGCCGTGTTTTGGTCAAGCACGCCCGTGTTCTATCTCAGCCCTGCCCGTGTTTTGGCCAATGTTTGCCAAACTCGAATTAGCTCTCGGCAGTAAAAGCACGGTCTCTGAACACGGCCGTGTTCTGGTTTAGGTGTGTCCGTGTTTTGGCTCAGCTTCACCGAAATGACTTCCGAATGCCCCGAAACTCGTGCTTAGCCTTCCCTTTTACACCTGGGACCTGAAACATGACAAAATAGCACAACCCGGCATAAAATAGGCCAAAAACACAAGATTATGCCCCTCAAACGGATAAGAACTAGGGGCGTAATTACCTGCAATTACATCGTTATCAGTAGAGTATCTATACATTTGTTTGATTGTGCGGGGCCATATGATGCTCGAATTAAGCCTTCTCGAGTAGTATGCCTACTAATCTCCATAGCTAGGTAGTGGGTTATTGATGTTTGAACGAATAACTTCTTTGAAATTTCTCATAGATTCCTTGTGATCTGATACCGTTGACTTCTTTTACTGTCATCGAATTTCTTCCAGAATGAGCACAACCTGGATCTGGTACATAGGTTTTGACATTATCCTCGTGGATGAACAATTTTAGAGAATTGTTGATTTATCATGGTTAAATCCGCCATGTTGATAAATGCCATGAATATATGATAATCATGCGAAATGGTGTGAATATGCATATGCAAGATGTTTTTTGTGTGGATGCATGAATGTTGGTGAAATTACCTTCTTGATTGATTGTAGAGTGAACGAATGGAGAATGAACGAAAAATGCTAATGTCATGATTTTTGTAAACTTTTGCATAACATCTAACCACATCATTCATGCATAATCGATGAAGCATAATTCATTATATCATAAACAAACATGAATCATAAACACATCATCCTATTTAGGCCAACTTAGGGTTTTATGAGGTTTAACAACGATGTTTAAGATAGGCCTCAAGATAATTTTTGAATAGTTTAAGGTGGCTTCTAGACTGACTATATGCTGGGTAATGAGTTCTAGGCATTTATTCCCAAGTTGTACCCTACTATTGCTCTTTCAAGCTTAGTCGGATATCTCAAATCAACCTCGGATTTGAGTTCAACTTGGTTAGAAAGTTTCGCGTGCCAACCTACTATTGTAGGCTTCACGGTACTCCTTTCGTGTTTTCTAAAGGTAGAGCTCGGGCATAGAGCTTTTATGTATGATGCAAATAATTTAATAAGCAATAAGGTAGTTGCACAAATAAGATAATAAACACCCAAGATACCGAAGATAATAAGAAAAACGTATTGATTTAAATGTTGTAGCCCGACTCACAAATTGTCCCCAGCGGAGTCGCCACTGTCGCAACCGCCCCTCCGAATCGGGGTACTCGTCGCGAACCGCTCGGAGTCGCCATTGACCTTAATCGGGGTGGTTCGAACACCCTTTCCGGTTTTAATTTTTGTTAAAACCAGAATTCTTGTCTGCAAATTTTAGATTTTTCTAGATTCGGGAGTACAGTTACGTGTGGGGAAGTGTACTCACACCCCACAACGCCCCATAATAGGTACTACGTAAACCGATAAGTTTTTAAGTGTTGAGTGTTTCATTATTTGTATCTTATTGCGTATTATTGCATTCAATTAATTTAAGTATTTTGTTATTACAATTTGAGCATACATCTATTGATGTAAAATCTCAAAAGTGAAGAAAGAGTTTTTTAATTAGTTGGACTCGAACCTATTGGTTGCCTACGTACCCAAGTAGTCGGGATCAAAGTCCACGTAGTTCGTTGTAATTGTTAGTTTTAAATGTTGAGTCTCACACGTTGAAATGTGAAGAAAATGTTTTAGCTGGACTCGAACCTATTGGTTGCCTACGTACCCGAGTAGTCGGGATCAAAGTCCACGTAGTTCGGTTTAAAATGAGTGGTTTTTTTTAAGAAGCGATCTTAACACGTTCTAGTGATCGTGGCTAAGATGATAATTTGAGTTGTTAGGCGATGTATTTATGATGTTTCAACTTAGTAGTTGAATGGTAAAACCATCTTTCAAATGATTCCATCAAGAGTAACGATTACGGTTTATTTATCATGATTTCGTATTAAGATATTTTCCAAGTAAAACGACCATGGGTATGAATAATGAAGCCAAATTGAATGTGGTAACGAAGGTTTTTAATATTTTGAAATGTTTAGAGGTATACATAAATACATAATTTGGTTAAAGCAAAATCCTAGCATGATTAGATGATACGAATACTACGTATTAAGCTTAAACACGAAGAAAACAAGATAAGGAGATCAAAGTTTCAAATATCATAACATGGCTTTGTGGTTAGTTGCCCTTACCTGAAGCAATTAGTGAGGTCATGGTCTATGGTTCGAGACTTCACACTCTTGATTTTTTTTGGATCGCCGTTAGACGCCAGTACCACCCAGAAAACGACCTGCATTTCCATCGTCTCCTTCGATCTTTCGCCTACTTCCACTCGCACTTCTCCATCCAATCTCCATCGCTTTCCCTTCTGGTAGTAAGGAAAGAAGGACGGCGGCTGCGGAAGAACTAACGACGATGGACGCCGGCGACGAGGACGATGCAAAAGTAAGTTGAGTTTTCTTTGTTTGCATGCCGATTTTAAGGTTTGATTTCTCTGGTTTTGGTCGGTCCTGACCTATTTGTGTGTTTTTTTTAGGATCGGGTGTGTCGCAAGGGAGGATGGGGTCATTGGAGACAGGGATAGGAAACCGTCGGCGACAGAGGCGAAGACTCTCTGGTCGCCGCGATGACGAGTCCAATGGAGATAGCGGATTCTAATAGGTAAGTCGTGTTGTTTAGGGTTTTAGCGATCTAGGATTATATGTTTTAAAGTCTCAAAAGATGGATTTTGTTAAAATTCCGAGAATTGGTTCATACAAAGAAAATCATAAGTGGTGAAATTTACATGTTAATCAACTGTAAAAATTGCTACTTCTTGTAATTAGGAAGTCTCAATATCTTATGTTCATGGTGGACTTGAACTATTTCGAGCCTGTACGTGGTTTTGTCAAGATGTTGATTCGGGTTTAGGGGTCATGCTTAGTTAGTGATCATATGATTTTTTGGATTGAATAGGTTTGTTTTTCTGAAATCAGGGATTTGGGTTGGGGTGTTCTCGGAAATGGAAACTGTGGGTTGTGATTGAATCTTGAAACCTGCTCGTTTATGGTCGGAAATCAGTGTGTGTATGATGGTTTGTGGTTTTTAAGGGGTTTAGAATCTGGAAATTCTGTATACTTGTTTGGGGATATTGATTCTGGGAATTCGGTTATGGTATGTTTATACTGGTTTTGGAACTGGAATTTTGTGGTGTAATATGGTGGTTCGAATCTGTTAGTAAATTTTACGACAACTGAATCTGGAAATTTGTTGTGTGTATGGTGAATAACTGGGGAATTTAGCTTAGTGATGGTTAGGTGTGTAGTCCAGCATATAATAATAAACATACAAAAATATGCAGAACGGGCAAAAGAAATAGTAAATGATGAACAAATATAGATTTATAGATCTAGTATTGTAGTAGGATTAAACATGAAATATTTAAATGAAAGTACTGAGATAAATAGGAAAGTAAACATAATGAACCCATAAGGAAAAGCAATATATCTAATTTGTTGATTGCTTTTGTTATTATGGTGAGAATTGCCGACTTGTAATTTGCTTTGAAAATCGATTGGGCTTGCTTGTTTTTGGTGTTTTATTTGGGTCAGATTGTAATTTGATTGGGGTTGATTGGGTTTGATTTTGAAAAGAACTTAATAAGATGATTTAAGAAGATGAATGGTAAAGATGATGGTTGGAATTTACTTTGCCACCAACCTTTTTGACTTTTTCTGTTGTTTGGGGTGATGATTCTGCCTTTGCTTGATTCTCTGAGCTTCTTTGTCTGCTACCTCCTTTGTGCTTTTGCTGATGTTGGCGGCAGGAGAGGATGTTCGTTTGTGTTTGTTTTTTGCGGGGAAGAGGAAAGGGAGTTGTGGTTTCTTTGTTGTCTTTTGGAAAAAGGAGAAGAAGAAACGAGGACAGGAAGCTTGGGGAGAAGAAGATCAATTCTGTTTTTGCCAGCTTTTTTCTCTGTGGATCAGGAAAGAGGAAGTGGACAGCGGATAAGATGTGGTTGCCGCCCCCTCAAAACAAAGAGCAAGAGGCTCTTTTTATAGAAAAAAATTTACGTAAGCCATGTGCTGGTTCGGGTCGGATCAGTTCGGTTCGACCAGTTTGGTTCTTGGTTATGTGGTTCCACTGGTTGGGCCAAGTTGACTGGTATGAATTTTAGTTGGGTTGGACCTGGACTTCTGTTGACTTGGCTGGGATTTGAATTTGGGCTATTACCAGAACATACTTGGGTTTAGGCTTTGGGCTCTTTTCTTAATTTTTTCAAATGTAATCACACTCGTAATCTTTGTTTAATAAATGGTGTAATTATTTACTAATCATAGTTATGATTGTTATTTAGAAATTGAAGTTTATGTCAATGAGTTGATATTTCTATTTGACTTTCTCTTCCTATTTCATTATTCCTAAATCGATGCCCAAGTCCAACATCAAATCATGTCCACGAGATTAAGCAATTGCGTAATTATTTTAACCAAGCTAAAACAAGGCAACTAACCCAAATGTTTTAAACATCAACTTGTCCATATCAATCGAGATTTGCTATTGCTAATCTGACCGAGGTAAAACAAACATGACTCATCTCAAGCACCACGAATACACTTTTATTAGTAGATTGTTTAAGATTTGCTATTGCCAACCTTAAACAAAAACTAAATTCTATTTAATTAGATATGTTTTAGCCTGTACAAAAACCGGTGTCTACAGTACAGTAGGCTAGAACTTGAATTGACTGATCTTTGGGAAATGATACTATACTCTAACCCTTAAAGATCAAAAATATAAGTTTTAATTCTCTAAATTTTATACCCCATGATCAATTTAATTAGAAACAATAATCGACGGTTATGATTCGTCCAAGTATAGAAAAAAAATTCAATGCACCATCTTAGGGTTTATAGCTTATGATTTAGATAATTAGGACCTAGGGTTCACTCATTAAGGGTTAGGGTATAGTATCATGCCCAAAAATCCTGCTAATTCGAGTTCTAGATAGCGTTTTCATACTCAAAATATGTGGTACCCCGGATTTCACCCGGGGTATCAATCAATCAATCATTCATGTGCCTCAACTCATTCTTAGTCATCTCAAGTCTCTGAATTACCAAGCCTCCAATAGTACAAAAAATGCCCCAGTTATTAAGACCGGTGATAACAATCAAAAAATTGACGTTGTCTAAACTTTATTATTGAGAAGTTTGTGTGCTAAATCATCATGTTTAAACTACATTATATTACAAGCTAGTTTATACTAATTTTTGTTCCCACTAGTCCAACGTAAGTTTTAGCATAAGTTAAATTGCTATGAAGGTTTTTCATGAGAAAATCACCAAACTTTGTCGTATTTTATGCTTGTTTGGTGTTTGTGGTGATATTCCAGGTCTTATACTCATCTACAATCGATTAGGGATCAATTTGGAGCTCTCCAGTGCACGTTCTCATTACATTGGAGCAAAGTAGGGTAGAAGGCAAGGCCATATTGCAGCTGAAGCAAGCCAGATCACGACCTAGATCTCGAAGGGCTCAAACAGATTGCAGCCTATGCCCCAGTTCACAACCGTGTTCTCAAGAGGTCAAGAGCAAGAGGAAACAGAAGGAGTAGCGGTCCACTTTGCTGTCCTCGGCAATGGAGACCATAACAAAGATCGCGGCCATGACTTATAGTTTACGGTCGTGATCTCTAAGCCACAAACTCTTCTCCGATTCAATCCAAAATGGTAGCGTCAGAAGATCGGAGACTGGAAAACTAGACCACAACCGCGATCTCACAACTCGAGGTCGTAATCTTTTTGGTGTCACTGGCTTCCTATAAATAGGGGAATACCCTAATTTATGGAAAAGAGTCATCCTAGAGTGAGAAATTGAGATTTTGAGAAGCTTTTGGAATCCATCCTAGAGACATGGAGAAGGTTGTAATTCAAGAAGAAGATGATGATTCCTCTATTCCCATATTGATTTCTCCTCCTCCTCCATTGATGGGCTAAAGCCCCTTGTATTTTGCATAATTTGAACCCTAGCTCAATATGTAATTTGAACCTTTAGTAAAGGTGATTAATTGATTGTTCTTGACAAAAGTGAAGTGACCATCCCCTTAGGTTGAGATTAAACCGCACATCAACTAGCTAGTTTGATATTTTTATTCCATGACCATTATATTAAAGTCTCATTTGTCATTGGTCTTGTCCCCAATTTGGGCATCGATGCGTCAAGCTCTAGGGAATTGTTTGTTGCATCACCATTGAGCCAAGAAGTGACCTAAAAGTCTATCTAAGTGCATGATCATTGACATAGGTACTAGCCTATAAGATTTTTAAACCATAAATGCCTACCTAGAACTAACCTCTCATGGGGACTTGATATAAGGAGTACATAGGTCTAATTACGGAATTCTCTAAGACCCTGGAAATGGTTTTAGATATGTTACAACGACTTTTAATTTGTGTCATGGTGCCGGCAATGCCATTATGGATGAGATTACAGGTAGAGATGGTGTTAAGGGAGGTAATAAGAGTGAGGTCGGACATGGGAGAGAGTGTCGGCAATGCTGCCTCAACCAAACTCAGAAACAACATCGTCGACTTCATCATTTGTCGGTCGTCTCTTCTAACGAGTAGCAAAATCAACGCAAACAAGTTTATGTGTTCCTTTCCCACAAGATTGCTACTTTTTTAGGGTCAATTGATGGGATTTCATTGAAATTCAAATGTAAGATGCCTCAATCGCTACAACATCAGCTATCACCAAGGAAAAAAGGTCATTCCAAAATTTTTAAAAAATCCTCAGAAACAGTAGTAATATGGTCCACCTAGTGGGCTACATTGACTTCTTCTCTATAGATAAACACCCAATCTATTATATCCAGCTCCTCGGCCATCATCTGAATATCGGTGCATATGCTTCACAATTCAGTTATGCAGTTGCTGCCTTCCTTCAATATGTGGATGACCTTCCTGCATTCCGATTCCACCACTAGGGGTCCAACTCCCCATTCAACCACCATTCGCAGTCCAAAGAGAATACCCATCCCTTCTTCAATGTTCGGGGGCCATTTTACCTTGATTCTCTTATTCGCAGCAAACACTACAAGTCCATTATATTCTCTAAGAATGCATCCTAACCCAATTTCCCCTTTGCTTGTTATCCCACCATCAGTGTTAAGTTTAAAAACTCCAATGGGATTTTTTCCATCTAGACTCATTTATGATATAGTGATTTATTGCATGATGATCATTTCCCTGCACTTCCAGGAGACATTGAATAAACTCATCAACTCGAGGGAACATCTACAACTTCTGCATGAACTTGATACTAAAGAGGAAATTGATTCGATCCTTCCAAAAGAACCACCATAAAGAGCATAACTGAGCTATCTCCTTTGTCGTATAATTTTTCAGAACATGAGTGAACCATTTTTTGCATGAGAATCCTTCAGCTTTGTAGTGTTACTCCAAATTATTGCATTCCAACTACAACAACAACAACAACCAGGAAATGGTTGTTTGATTCCTAAAGACCATATTCATTCTCCAAAATTCTTGACCTTTTTACTAATCTTGACTCCCACAGGTAAGATGTTATGAGCTTCTTTCCATATGAAAGTTTTTAGCATTCCAATTATATTTAATTTCCGCAGGTCGTTCCAACAGAACCCTTCTTCAAT